ATGGATAGATAGATAGATAGATAGATAGATAGATAGATAGATAGATAGATAGATAGATAGATAGATATTCAGCACTGATTTTTTCTCCTGGGGACACTCTGAATAAAAACATGCATAAGAACCAATAGCAGTCTCAGTTGTCTGAATGCAACCAACAAAAAACTCACTTAATTTCCCTCAGTCGCTTAATTCCACCCACTGAATCCTGAAGATAGAACAAAGGCAGCAGAGTAAAGAGAGTGACTGAAATTCTAAACAAATGCAGTACATTACGTCTGGCAGCATTTGTTTCAGGTTTTACTTGTGGAAAACCACATTCTTATTAGTAGCAAAGCACAATATGAAAAAGACGGCTGAAGTATTTACACTGTAATATTGTGTAATTCATTACGATCTCAAAACATGAGAAAAAACAAAGCAAACTAGATATATTTTCCTAAACAATAGTCACAGCAGTAAAATAAACTCCACCTAATTTATGAAAATGATAAACAATTCAGTTTTTCTCTTTTGCAGTTTTTACTGTTATGACTTATGAGATAACTTAATGTGCACTGTGCATTGTTTGTAACACAACTTTACTATTTTAAATGGATAGTAGTGCTGAAGAAAGATGAATAAGAATCAATTCTAACTTCTCTCTTCCTCTGGATCCATAATATTCATGTTTCTTTTTCGTTGAAATACTTGGATCTCCTGTCAGTTTGCCCTTACTTCCTTCAGGGATGTGCAAATATATATATGTGTGTGGGGGGAAAAAGTTGCCTTAATGATCTTGTTTGGATAAACAGAGGGAATAAATAGATTAAATAAATAAATAATATACAGTGCAGGTGTGGGAATAACAAATGCAACATTGACTAATAGCCTGTTATTGAGATTAATGGCAGAAGACCTCCTGAGTTGAACTGCACCACTAAAGATGCAACATCTAACCTTACATTGCATAAATAACTCTCTTATCTCTATTTAGGCAAGTGCATCTTGGATTGAGAAAAGAGTGTTCTTAAATGTTCTTTCTTGCTTTAAAATATTTTTTAAAATTGAAACAAAGTTAAATTTACTACTTTTAATGTTTACATGCTTGGCAATCCAGCAAGAAACATTGGTAGAAAAGAATTCTTGGCTGTGAAACCTGCTGTTGGATTGTTTATTTCTTTTCTACTAAGCACAATCAAAAAAACTCTTGGCGGCTTATAATAACATCAAGTTACATCAACACATCTGCAGTAGAAAACAATAAAAATAGTAAATAACAGTCTAAAATTACCATAAAACCCAATGCATTGAAAAGTCCTCAGAAACAGCACCCAAAATAACCAGCATTAGAAGCTTTGCTAATGAACCAGGAGAGTTGATAGGAGGAAGACTGAAGGCTATCATGACTAACTGCTCTTCTGGATGGTGACACCAAAGCACTGCTGTCCAGTGAAGGAGCTGAAAGAAAAATATGCTGGCTTAAAGAAGTGCTTGAGAGCCACTTTGATGTAGTGGTTAAGGCAGCAGGCTAGAAACTGGGAGACTGAGTTTTAGTCCTGCTTTGGGCACAAAGCCGGCTGGGTGACCGTGGGCCAGTCACTTTTTCTCAGCCCTAGGAAGGAGACGAGGGCCAGCCACTTCCGAAAAACCTTGCCAAGGAAACTGCAGGGACTTGTCCAGGCAGTCTCCGATTGAATGGATTAAAAAAAAAACCCCGCTAACTGCACTTTCACACCCTGTTTTGCCTCGGCAGTAATGCAGAGTAGAGGTTCTTTCCACACCAAAAGCAGAAGAAGGAGAGAGATAGAGTGGGGAACATCTCCTTTGGTGCCCAAGACTGGCAGCTGAAGACCCATGGGTCTCCTGCTGTCAGTTTTCTGATCCCTCTATGGGATGGAGGACTAATATCAAAGAAACAGCCAAAAAAACAAACAAATGGATCATTGAACAAGTCAATCCAGTGTTCTCACTGCAGGCATTAATGACCAGGCTCAAATTATCCTACTTCAGACACATTATTCAAAGACCTAGCTCTCTAGAGAAGGCTCTAATGTTGGGAAAAGTAGAAGGGAAGAGAAGAAGAGGATGACTAGCAGCAAGGTGGATGGACTCAGTTACAGTAGCGATGTTAGAAGACCTGAAAGATCAGGTTAGGGATAGATTGTCATGGAGAAAATCTATCTATATGGCTGGTAAAAGTCAGCACAGGCTTGATGGCACATAATCACATTAAATCAACATCAAAGAAGCCATTCTGCTCTACTTCTCCCCACCTCAGCACCCATGGATTTGGACCACAGTTTTCTCCCTATTTGTATCAAGGTTCAACTTGTACCATTTTAGATCCATGAAGGCAAATTTGACATTTGCTTCATATGCAACATGAAGCTCCCAGTTGTTGTTTTTTAAATACTTATAGAAATCCGCATTGGTGGGCTTTTCCTTCAGGCACTGTAGTAGTACATAGAGTGTATCTATCTGCAAATTTTGAAGAAGAACAGGTATGGCTCTGATCATCTCATGTCTCATTGCCCTAGAGATGTCCCTTCCCTCATTTCCCCTACATATTTGTAATTAGTCACAGATAAAATTGTATGCTATATATCAAACAAAAATCTAGTTGGCTCTGTGAGGTCAGACAGGTAGCTACTTTAAATGGTAGACAGAATAGGGCTTCAGAATTCATGCAGTTCATTTATATCTGCATGATTGGCAAACTCAGAATGAATTATGAAAAACAAATGGTACAGTCAATTATGCAAAATGGGAACATATTCACATTTGTTAAAAACACATAATTTGTATAGGCTGCTTTTTGGACCTGGAATATAGATTGCGTAAGAACAGAATATTTACTGAAAGTCTTGGCGTTTCTGCTTAGCACTGTCTTAGAACTAATTAATATGAACTGCTGTGTTACTGCTTTTCCTCCAAAGGATGTCAGCTTTTTCTCTTCCCTTGTAATTCTGTCTTTTTGGTTTATAAGATTGGAGTCAGGGAACTATTTTCATTTCATTCGTTGGATTTCTAAGCCAGTTTGGAAAAACATTTTTTATACTGATTGATATGATATACAGTACTGTGCAAAAGTTTTAGGCAGGTGTGAAAAAATGCTGTAAAGTAAGAATGCTTTCGGTTTATAAGATTGGAGTCAGGGAACTATTTTCATTTCATTCGTTGGATTTCTAAGCCAGTTTGGAAAAACATTTTTTATACTGATTGATATGATATACAGTACTGTGCAAAAGTTTTAGGCAGGTGTGAAAAAATGCTGTAAAGTAAGAATGCTTTCAAAAATATATATTATAATTGTTTATGTTTATCAATTTACAAAATGCAAAGTGAACAAACAGAAGAGAAATCCCAATCAAATCAATATTTGGTGTGACCACCCTTTGCTTTCAAAACAGCATCAATTCTTCCAGGTACACTTGGACACAGTTTTGGAAGGAACTCGGCAGGTAGGTTGTTCCAGACATCTTGGAAAACTAACCACAGATCTCCTGTGGATGTTGGCTGCCTCAGATCCTTCTGTCTCTTCATGTAATCCCAGACAGACTCAATGATGTTGAGATCAGGGCTCTGTGAGGGCCAAACCATCACTTCCAGGACTCCTTTTTCTTTTTTACACTGAAGATTGTTCTTAATGACATTGGCTGTATGTTTGGGATCATTGTCCTGCTGCAGAATAAATTTGGGGCCAGTCGCACACCTCCCTGATGGTATGGCCTGATGGATAAGTATCTACCTGTATTTCTCAGCATTGAGGACACCACTAACCCTGACCAAATCTCCAACTCCATTTGCAGAAATGCAGCCCCAAACTTGCAAGAAACCTCCACCATGCTTCACTGTTGCCTGTAGACACTCATTATTGTACCGCTCTCCAGCCCTTTGGCAAACAGACTGCCTCCTGCTACAGCCAAATGTTTCAGATTTTGACTCATCAGTCCAGAGGACCTGCTGCCATTTTTCTGCACCCCAGTTCCTATGTTT